AGCTCTTTGACTGTAGTTGCAGCTGGCCCTCACAGCTGATTGGCCTGGGGGTCAATTCCTCCCAATGATGCCAACAGCAACCAAGACTCAACTACAACAGGACAGTGCACACAGCCCACACAGGGGAGCACCTAGAAGGCCCAGTTCAGGTCACTGAGGAGGCTGAGCCACTGGACCCTACAGAACACCTACTACACAAACCACTCTACCAATTCCAGGAGACATAGCAGCTCTACCTAATACACAGAAACAAACACCTGGAAGCAGCCAAAATGTGGAGGCAAAGAAACAGGTAACAAAAGAAAGAACAAAAGAAATCTCCAGAAAAGGAACTAAATGAAATAGAACCAAGAAAGCTAACAGAATTTTGTTTATAAGGATGCTCAAGGACATTAGTAAGACTTTTACAAAAACAAGTGAAACCATCGATGACCTAATAAAATACCTATCAGAAATGAAAGCTACATGAACTGAAATGAAGAATAATTTANNACCAGAAGGAGAAGAAAGAGACCAAGAAATTGAAAACCTCTTTGAAAAAATAATGACAAAAGACTTCCCCTACCCGGGGAAAGAAATAGACTTACAAGTCCAGGAAGCACAGAGAGTCCCAAATAAGAGGAACCCAAAGAGGCCCACAGCAAGACACATCATAATTAAAATGCCAAAGGTTAAAGACAAAGAGAGAATCTTAAAAGCAGCAAGAGAAAAGCAATTAGTTACCTACAAGGGACCACCTATTTGACTGTCAGCTGATTTCTCAACAGAAACCTTGCAGGCCAGAAGGGAGTGGCAAGAAATATTCAAAGTGATAAAAAACAAGGATCTAAAACCAACATTGCTCTACCCAGCAAAGCTATCATTTAGAATTGGAGGTCAGATAAAGAGCTTTCAGACAAGGAAAAGCTAAAGGAGTTCATCACCACCAGACCAGTACTATGTGAAATGTTGAAGGGTCTTCTTTAAGAAGAAGGTAATGAACAAAAGAATCTGACAAACTAAGTGGATCCAGAGACATTGACGCATGCGACAGACACCTGTAGTGCTTTTAACAATAAAGATAAATTTTAAAAAAGAGAGAGAGAGGCTGAGCATCATTTCATACCACATGTCATACTAAAGCCATCATTTTGAAATAGAAATTGTTCTCCCTTTAAAGTCCAACTTTCATATTATTTATTTGTAATATGGGGTGGGCTGAATGGCCCTGAAACTGTGGGTAAACTGTCAGCTTTTTTGTCTCAATTTACTGATCAAAAAGAAAAGAAAGAAAAAATTTGCACTGCACAACTTTATATTAAAAAATTCTTGGCTTTATAACTTTGGCGTTGTATGCTGCTCTCTGCCTTTTCTTTACTCCTTTTGGATGCATGTAAAGTGTGATGGGTTTGGATGGCCTGCAGAGTTGTTAGCAGCTGTCCCTTTGCCCTTCACTTTCTGCCAGCCCACTCAGGCAGACATAATAGAAACTGTGTACGTAGTTGAACAAAATGACTTTGCCAGACCAAGGTGGGAAATTTGGGGTTGACATATTGAGTATCTGTGTTCCTTCTTCATGTTATCCAAATGTGTGTCTTACCTTCTGCAGTGAGATGGCTGTGATGAATATGTATTATTGTGCTTTGTAATGTCAGTCAGTGCCTCTTCCAATATTATCCACAGCAGGGGACAAGAAGGGCCGTGGGACATCGGGGCACGTCAGTCTAACGAGAGCTGATTTGATTTTGTTTACATACATTTTAAAAATGTAAAATCAATGACAATGCACAGGACTCCTTTGCCTTATGATACACATATAATAACCAGTTCTTCTATTCTACCAACATATTTTATAATACATCCGACTCCTCATTGCAGTTCACATCAACTTGAAAGTTCTAGCCCAAACATGTTTCTTACTGTGTAAGCGATTGGAGCCTAAGCTTCCACAAGCCTATGTTCCTTTTAATATCATACAGAAAGAGATAGACAGGAAGCAAGAGAACAAACAGATGTCAAAATGTTAATAATGATTTTATTTAAATGAAAGTTATACAAGAGTTTATTGCCATATTCTTGTAATAGTTCTATACTTCTGAACGTTTTTTTTCCCCCCAAGATGTAAAGTATAATTTAAAATTTCTCTGGAAAATAAACTTTTAATAAGAAATAAAACAAAAATAGAGGAGATCTATGGAAAAAAGAGATTAAGAAACTTCAGATAATGGTAATATACTCATTTGAATCCTGTTTGGAACAAACTAATTTAAAATATTGGATAATTATAGTTCCTTGAACACACTGGACTTTTTATGATACTAAGGAATGATTGATTTTTATTGTTTTTGTTTGTTTAGGTCTGATATTGGTTTATCAATTTTGTGATGATTTTAAAGTGTCCTATTTTATAGATACTTACTGAAAGATTTACAGATAACTTGGGAGTTTCCTTAAAAATTATCTGGGGCAGAGGAGAGGGTATGAGATAAGCTAAGATAAGATAAAACAAGGTTGGCCTGGAGTTGATCACTGTTGAAGCTGACTGGTTATTATACTGTTCTCTCTGCTTCCTTATGTGCTTAAAAGTTTAAACATAAGGAAATGCTGTGGACCAGGTTATTTAGCTTCAACAAATGTAGAATTAGGAGATGTCTGGAATAAACATCGCTATAATTTTAATCAGAAGTAAATGAGTTAATACATATAAACTCATATTCAGAGACTGACCCTAAACAAGCCCTGAATAAACGTGAGCTATTACTTTCAGATTTGTTTTTTTCTCAAATCTAGGTGGAGGCTGTTTCTGAAGAATGTACTTTTCCTAAGAATGTCAGTTTGCTTTATTCAAAGATTGCCCACTTTTGTAAAAAGAGTAAACAGGGCCCGGCAGGGCATGGCTCAGCAGCTGAGCACTGATCTAGGATCCAAGATTGAGGTTTGATTCCCGGTCTGGGCACACGCCTGAGCTGCGGTCTTGATCCCCAGCGGGGGGCATGCAGGAGGCAGCTGATCAATGACTCTCATCATTGATGTTTCTCTCTCTCTCCCCATCTCCTTCCTCTCCCTGAAATCAATAAAGATATATTAAAAAAATAAATAAATAAAAGAATAAGTAGGAAACAATTATTGCTTCTCTGGAGAAGTATCAAACTTAGGAAGAAAAATAAACTTACACCATAATAAGCAATAACCAAACATTTAAAAAGAGGAAATAGCTTACCTTAAACTATAATTAATGGGGGAAATCAACTAGTTTGCAAAGAAATTGCTATTCAGGAATATTGTTTGGAGAAGTAATTTAGCTTTAACCAAAAATTGTTGCCAGTATTATTCATATTGACTGGAATTTTATCTCTGCTTAGCACATTTTAGCCATGAACTCATAGTACTTAATTTTTGTTTCATTTAAATTGGCTAATCCACAAAAGATTTTAAAGATTTTATAAAATTCAGTAAGCAGTTTATATATATATGACTCATTTTCATTAGCTGTTTATAAGCTAACATTTTTAACATATTGGACATCATCAAAAAATAGAGAATATTCCACAAACCTGCCAAGAAATGGTAAATAATTCTTGAAATTGATGGAATCTTGTAACAATTTCAATGATTTTGCATTTTATCTCTTCTTTCTATGCAGTTGATAAAACTAATAAAACCTAACAATAGATCATTGTCTTTAAAGTGGACAGTGCATTTATAGATTATGGAAAATGTATTTATCCATTACTAAAAGGTTTACTACAAGGTATACAAACAAATCATGGTGCACATTATGATATGAGATGTGTACACAAATACACAGTATAGTTAGTAAACCACTTTTAAATTTTGTAGAAATATTTTAAACCTTCAAACTGTGAGTGATTTCTAGTCTCTATATTTGATAAAGGGACAATTGCCACTGCCACAGAGAGGACTGTGTCACTTCATCTCCACATCCCAGTGTCTGAGAGAATTTCATAGTAACATATAAAAGACTTAGATACGTAGTTATTTTGGATTTTGAAGGAGCTGAGTGTGAGAGAATATGTAAATTAGAAACATAATATATTCTGTGGTAGGGATTGAAATTTAGGTCTTCATATCAGCATTTCAGTGAAAGACTTGGACAGTGTTTCAACATGTAAAATTTATTCATGTCTGGCAATGTTAACATTTAAGGAGACATGAAGTAGCAAGTAGATTTAGATTTAAGGAAACCTAAAAGCAACAGTCAAATATTTTGCTATTTTCTGTTTTGTAAATGAAAGCTAATGATAAGTGACTACAGTTTTCATCTTTTCCAGGGTTTGATTATGTAGCCATCTTTATTTATGATGGAAGCAATCTGCTTATACAGTTAAATCATCTTCAGTTTAGGTAAAGAACTGGCAGAAAGGAATCCTACTTTTTGAAGACTAGAGAATATTTGAAAGTTCAACCTAAATTGATGTGAGTCGAGATGAAAACATTAGTCAAATGAAATCTAGTTGTGATGAATATGTTACTATATAGATATTTAAGGAAACAAACAAGCAAACACAAACACCAAAGTTGAATGTTGGTGTATCCATATGGACTTGGTCAAACAAGACACATTTTAGACTTGTTCAGAATTTAGTTAGATGTTTTATGTTAACTAAGCCATTGCCAGAAACTGACAGTTGAGTCAACATAGCTATATAATTTTCCTTGTTTTCCTGTGCTATCACAGCATAGCAACTTGTCCAAGCAAGGGCTTCTGTTTCTTTCTATGGTTTGCGTTTCTTCTTGATATTTCTTCTATTCTTCTTATCACTTATTTTGGCTGCCTCTGATATTTCTTCTATTCTTATCACTTATTTTGGCTGCTTCTGTTAATCTTTTCTTTAACTCATAATTTCTTTCTTTTAATATGGTTTGTTGGTATTTGCTTTATTGCTCTGGTTATCTGCTAAATTATGTTTCTTACTCTATTATACTAGTTGACAACCATCCAAACAAAATAAACTCAGGGGAGAGCTAATTGCTTCCTTCTTTGAAATTTTATTTTTAAGGATTATGCTGAGAAGGAGAACACCATAGCAAAAGCTCTAGAAGACCTGAAGGCCAATTTTTACTGTGAACTCTGTGACAAGCAGTATTATAAGCATCAGGAGTTTGATAATCACATTAATTCATACGACCATGCTCACAAACAGGTAAGTAAGAAACGTCCAAAAAAAAAAAGGTATTTCTGAACTTTTGTAATAATTTGAATTGTGTAGACTATATGAATAAGATATTTTTATTTATTTATTCTTTGTTATACATTTTGAAAGGTATTTTGAGATGAGGATTTGATGACATAGCAAAAGACTTAAAATAAAAGCACCAATGTAAAGTCTGAAATAAAAAATTAATACAAAGAAATACTATTTAGTTGCCTTTTATGATTGGCAATATTTTGAAAATTATATTCTATAGGTTGGTGTCTACTAAATATATTCATATTATAATTTTTTAAGTATTTTAATCAGCTAATGACATTTATCAAATATAAATGAATTTATTTATAGTTCTTTATATAAAGCATTTGACATTTTAACTACCCATAAATCACGAAAAAAATTGGGATGCTAAAAATAACCAGGGTTATTGGTTAAATAAATACTTAATATGTGTATAATTTAGTTTATTTTAATATTATTTTCATTTCCCTGTCAATTGTAAATTCAAGATTGATTTTTTTCAGTACTCTGTAAAAATGAGTTTAAACTAGCGATGATTTCAGAAGTGAAGTTATTAATACAGATTCCATTTTCTCATACACTTTACAGTGTAACTTCCATGTTGCTTAGCACACTGACTTGATACAGCAGTCTAGCAGTGTTAGTTATCAATTTATAGATATTTTCTCTTTTTATTTATTTATTTTTATCTTTGTTTAAAATATTACAGATGTCCCTTTTTCTCCCCAATTACCCATTGCTTTTTAGCCGTCACTCACAAATATCATCCACATATCATTTTGGTTGGTTTTAAAAAAAAAGATACATATTTAACTTGCAAACTTGCAGTAACTTTTGATTAATGTTAGAGTTATTTAGCATAAGTAGGAAAGAGTGGGGAGAAATGATCACAGTAAGTGCTTATGAACCAACTGTATATATTTTCTTTTGCTGTGATTCCTTTCATTCTCTCACGGCAACAAAACTGCTTAGGGAGGCTGTTGTAAGGTAGTCTTCACTTGCATACATCGCTAATTAATGCACATTAAAAGGCCTGTCCTTGCCTTTCTATTTCCTGTTGGTAGATCCACTGGCACATCAGTTAAGGGGAAGGTTTGGATGAAAATATCACTTTCTTGCATAAAAAGGCAAACACCTGCATACATTATTGCTTGATACATTAAAATCCCTCAGGAAGTAGTATCAATTTCATTCTGTATTTCCTTGAATTTGTTTTATAAATTGATGCTGGAGTATTGTTCCTGATATGGTATATCTTAAAAGTTGTTCCTCTGATTTTTTTTCCAAGTACCTAAAAATGCAATATGTTATTACATATTTGTTTCATTGTGTAAACTAGGTACTTGGAAATGGGTGTTCATATGTGTGTTTTAAGAATATATTATCAGCTATTACCATCCTTTGCTTCATTCAGCCATAGGTGCTATAAGATCAAATTCACTTAGATGATCACAAGGTCCTTTCCAGTTCCATATTTTTAGTGAAGTTAGGATACTACACACCGCCCACAGATAAGCTAGGGGAATTCAGGCAGGATCTAGATTGTTATTTTGAAGTCCAGAGAGTTACTTTTGATAATACCCAGCAACATCAGACCCTAGAGACAGATACACCCTCTAAATCACCATGAACTCTGGTAGACAGCAGGGTCTTAATTGATTAGTTTAACATGAGATGATGTCATAGTAGCTGAAAAGATTTAAAATCATATACTTAAATACATTTTGAAACTACATAAACATACATTTATATGTGTATTTGAATGCATTTGAAATCAAGATACCTGAGTACCTGGGGCAGGCTCCATTATGAACTTTTGGTATAGGAAAAGCTTTGTAGATTTTTTTCTTTCAGTTTTATTTTGTATTGGTTTTAGTTGTACAGCTTAGTGATTAAACAATCATATACTTTGCATAGTGTTCCCCTCCCAATATGTTTCCAGTGCCCAACTGGCCCCATACATCGTTATCGCAGTAGTCTAACTAGATTCCCTATGCTTTACTTTACATTCCCATGACTGATTTGTAACTGCCAGTTTGCACTTCTGAAACCCTTTACTTCTTTCACCCAGTTCCCCAGCCCCACTCCTGTCTGGCAACGGTTAGTCTTCTCTCTGTATCTTTCCATCTTCTCCTTCCCAGGACTCCAATTCTGCATGCACCAAGGGTTTAGACTAGATGGTTTTATTGGCCTTTCTGGATCTAAAATTCAAGAATTCTATATCATTACATATGATACATAGTTAGGGTCTGTATGCTTAGCCCTAAATAATCAATAGTTATTTAATTCCATATTTTCTAAGTGATTCTCTCATACAAAAAGGTTAGAATAGTTTCTAGTGAAGTTATGTCATTCTGAATTCTAGTCATTGATATTTTTTAAAAAAGTGGAAAACTCAGCATCAGGTAAAAAGAAAAGATTTTCCTCTAAACTCTTTCACCTGTTCATTTGCCCTTAAACTAGAGCCACACTGTGTCTGTCCTCTCACCTGTCAGCCTGTGGCAATTCAAAGTTATTTTCACTATAAGAGATTTGTCATACTGATGCTATGATAGAAAAGGGAATGATTGCCTTATAGCTGCTACCCCTCAAACATTTTGATTGGCGCTTCAGTGTGGCTGAAATATCTCCCAAAGGCACTAAAGTGACCTTGGCCCAGCAGGTCAAGATTCTGTGCTTTTTGGTGCGCTGTTTTTTTCTGCTCCAGAGGAAGTCACACTCAGGCCAGGTTGTTGGAATTTGCTGTTGCTGCAGGAACTTGTATAGCCATAAAAATGAAGCAGCTTTAGTCTCAAATTTGAACACTTCCTAATAATTTAAGCTTCTGTTCACTAATCTGATACTTGAGAAATGAATCACTTCTTGAGATTTGGGTATACATTTCTATCCGCAGGGTAATATTTAAAGGTTAATAAGAAAATATGAGATACAGATAAAACAATTCATAATTTAATTCATTTCAAATATCCCTGAGATTTTCTTTTGTGATAAGCATTTCAGTCTAATTGTACTCTTAATTTTTTTTCCTCTAAACACCTCACAATTTATTTTACTATTCTCCTGTTGTTACACTTTAAAACACTTTTTTTCTCTTATAAATAGCAAGGCAGTGAACATGTTTGCTTTCTGCTCATCATAGCTCTTTATGAATGGAAATCTTAAATCAAAGAGTATGAATTTTCATACAGTTTTTGATGCACCGAAACTCCAATTCTAGACAAATTTAAGCAGTTTCTTAAAGGTAATGTGTTATCTTTTAAACCATTTTTGAGGATTGAAACATGGGAAGAACATGCAGTTTTCTCACAAAGAATCTCCTTGACCCCCCAAAAATGACTGTACACACACACTAACACACACATCTACTTAATGATAGAACTGTATTGTATTTACATTTCAATTCAAAGCCATGATTTGATAGAATTAAACTGAAGATTTTGTCTATTCTTGAAATTTATTAGGTTGATGGCTGTCTGTTGAGTCAATCGATCTTCAGGGTAGGTGAAGAATACTGCATCTTTAAATGGAGGTTCCTGATCTATGTTATCCAAACATAATTATGCCAAAAAAAAAAAAAAAGTTTTAATAAAGACTATAGTAGAGAAATTTACCTATGTGTAAATTTTGCATTATAAGCCAATAAAAAAAGTTTCTCTACACCTTTGTGTTTGCTACCACTAAAATTTTCATTTTTGTTAAACAACACAACAATAACTATAAGAAAACCATTTTGAGCCCAAGTGCTGTATCTTTATTTTTATTGTAATGATTATTTATTAACTCTTGGAAGTACAGGGTGGGCCAAAAGAAGGTTTATAGTTTGTATGGAAATAATATAATAATTAAATAATAGAAAAGAATATTCTGTTTCATGTACTCACAACTGTAAACCTACTTTTGCCCCACCCTGCATATTTTTCTTGTATGCCACATAATGACTTGGTTGATGGCATCAAATAAAATTGTATCATTTTATTTTACTATTTTATATTTATTATACTAAGTTAATGATGATACTTTAATATATATTATGAGACTATGTCTATTTTGGGAAATAGTTTATAGATTTATTATATACTTTCTATTATACAGATTGATTTATAATTCCTTTTTCTAAAAAGTAATTTTGAGACAGATTCTGGGAATTACTCTTAACCAAATAAAGATTTTAAGAAGAAAATTGATTTAAAAAATTTTTAATATCTAAGATTAACATAATGTGGGAAATTGGGAGTAGTACTTAGCTTTGAGCATCCTGAAAATCAAATTTTTATCTCCTAATCAGATCAAGAGTCAAATCTTAAATTATCTGCTCAGAGAATTGTCTTATGATACATTTCAAGATTCTCCTGGCCTCTCTAGAAATTAAGACATCAGTATTTTGGTTTTCTGTGGTAGGAGGTGAAGATGGTATAAAATGAAGAAACTTTCATTTCAGCTGAATATTAGAATTCCCAGAAAAGCTTTAAAGAATAGTAATCTCAGACTCTGGTATAGGTCCATGGCATACATCTATGTTTGAAGCTTCCCAGTTGATTATAATATGAGGCCAGGGTTGAAAAGGAGAGTGGAGATACCAAGGGTCATGAGGTTGCTACTTAGGTTGCCATCCGATGACCTATTGCATGCTTCTATAATATAGATGCATCACCAAAGTATGCCTCTTCTTATTCCAGAACAATTGTTAAAGAAATGTTAGAAAGAGGATTGAGAAAGAAGCACAAACAATAGAGAGAGGAGCAGTTAGGCATATGTATTCTGATTTTCCCTCTCCAGGCACTGTCCCAGACAGGGGGAGATGTCTTATAAAGATATGGTGAAAGTAGGGAGGCTGGAAAGAGAATTCCTTTTGGGTTGCCTGCTCCATACTAATATGACACTTAGCCAATATCAAAATTAATTTGGCATCATAATATGTTTAAGCAACAAACTCTGCTGTTTGGTGTTCCCAGGAAGCCCCACTTAAATAT